CTCACAGGAGACTCAGGACATGGAATTTCAGAAAACAACACAAAGCAAGGAACATCAAATACAATGCTTGCTAAGTATTTAACAGCATTTATAACAATTTTTCCCTAAGAGTCATAAGTAACAGAAGCTGCTAAAACAGACGATTCATAAAGCAAGTCTGGTTTATGGATAATAGCACAGGAAGTTAACCACCACTTGCCATTATGTTCCAGTGAAGCATAATTCCACAGCTCATACCACAAAGCAGTGAAGAACTCTGTTCCAATACATATGCAACAGGTTTGTATCTCCATTTCAGACTAGATTCCAAGAAATCATACCTACGCTATTAATAACAATAAAGTTAATTAATTCGAAGGTAATTCAACTCTGTCTACAGAAACAGTGTTAGATAGATAGATAGATGCACGCATATGTATTTATGACAGCTTTTCCTTCTGATGTTGTTCAAAAATAGCCAGGTGCAGCAAACATCTGACTGAAAGCTAGAACTGGTACAGCTTCCAGTCGGGGATGTTTACAGCAACAGACTACTATACATCACTGCAACTGTCTAACAGTACAAAGCAGCCGGTCACCTTCAGAGGAGGGAAAATAAAAAAGAAAATATTTAAGACATGCTTCTATAACATTCCAACCAATTACTGTTCAGCTAATTCTGAAGAAAACTTTATTACACATTCAGCAACAAAAATACAGCTCTAGATTCTCAACTTACATTAAATTAACAGAGTTTCTAAATGTAACATATTAGAATACAAATTCTCAATTTTTAATATACCTTTTAAGACCTCTTTAGGTTCAAATATATATAAATAAATACATTTTATATTTTATTTATACATTTAAAATAGATATAAATAAGATAGGGTGGGATGTTTTAAAGATCCCTTGGTTTTACCTCCCTGTAATCTCAATTCCTGGAGCTCTCAAAAAATAAACAGACTTCGACTCTGAAAATCCTATGAATTTTGCATATAGCTATAATTTCATAATTATTTGTAACTTTAAATAAAGCTATATGCAAAATTAAAGACAGAAACAAAGCAAGCCATATTCATAATAAAGCCTGTATCAGAAACTTGTCAAAATTTTGAAAATACTTTCAGTATCAGAATCCTACCTGATCAGTTTAAAGCTCTATTACAACCAACTAATTAAATCAAAACAAAACAAAACCAAGCTCAAACCCACTTATCTTTGGGTAAGCATTAAAGGAGACTGAGAGGATGAGAGGGAAAACAATAACAGCCTCAGGATGGAACCATTTCACTTACCATCTTCAACAAGTTACTATAAAAGCTCCCACAAGACTACATTCTGTTCTGCAACAATCAATTTTCTCTAAGTACCTTTATAGTATTAAATTTATTACAATGCATGGCACTTGAAAAGAGGAAATAATTGCATTTACATCAAAGTAATTTATTAAGTGCATTTCACTGAGTTAGTCATTGCATATTCTCCTAACATTACGATTCCACACTGTTGTGCGTAGAAGTAATCTGAAAGTCAAAATTCAAGACTCCTGTGGTGCTCCTGCTGTTGCAAAAGTTTCCCCCGTGTTTGCAATGGACATGGAAGGTCTGAAACTGCTATCTGCACATCTTTTTTTAACCACATAATTCTGGCTTGATCATATTCACATAATACTTGTACACCTTAATTTTGTAGTTTATAGTGGAGTGTCTTCCTAACAGAGCTAAAAGCAGATTGATATATTCCCATTTAGCAGTTTTTATTCCTTCAGAAACAAAAGAATTTTGCAAGTAAAAAGTTTCTACTGTCAGATTATATATATAGACGTCAGCAATTTAAGATTGCTTGTTCTGGGGGATTCTGTTTAGGCCTCCACAGCAACTCAAAAAAATAAATTATGACACGGAGTTTAAAAGTGAAGAAAAACTACAATATTCAATATTTCTCAGCTGTAGAAACCAAATCACATCCAGTTTTCAAACAAAGGTTTACTACTGAAACATGGAAACTTGTTAGGAGTAAGTGAATTTTGTTATTACCGCAGTATGCCAAGATTAATGAGAAAGCTGCATGCAGTCACTATGGATACCATGCTGACCTTCATTATTTTTGAGAATAAATAGTTAAAAAGCCAGTGGTCATTTGCAACAAAGGCCTCTTCAGGCTGTTCCAAAACTGAAAATTCCTATTTTATGTTGGAAAGAAATAAGCTATTTCATGCAGAGGTAGGCACATGGTATTTGACTAATTAGGCTGCTGAGCATTAAGTTGCAATGAACCATTTCTTACACTGCTCTCCTTTAACACTTACTTCTTAAGGAGTAATGAAGGTTACTACAATGTCACCTGCCCAAAGAGAACAAACTCTTCACAACCTCCTTTTGTTTTAACATGTAAATTATCACAAAATAACCAATATACATGACAATGAAGTCTCTTGATGCTTTATCAAACTCACTGTCAACTACAAATACTTACACAGCATCTTATGAAGTGGTTATATTTGTATAAAAGGAGTTGAAATATTCATTTCCAAATGTGGTGTTAAAAAAGGTAGAGGCATTACAGATCACTTGGTACAACTAAATGCTTGAAAAATAACTTCTATAAAAGTTCAATCAAAATTGAAGCTGTATATTTATTAAGAAGCATCTTCAGTTATTGTCTCAAACACTTTCTTTTTTAAAACAAATATAAGTAGACAGCATACTCCAGCCTTTGTTAAAGGCACTGTCCTCATTTTTGTAAAGCTTAAAAGCACTGAAAACAAACAGGATTTATTCTAGTGTCATCACAAACTGAAGACTATTTACTACTGGCTTCTGTTAATGCCTTTAACCATTTTTCTTAAGAAGAGCAATAAAGATGTAATTCTTCGACGTGTGAAATCCCTTCCAAGCTCCACATGTAGAGAACACACAGAACTATGTAACTCTAATACTTCTGACACAGGAAATTTATCTATTTGTCATTTTCAACAGCAATGTATGATCACCTGCCTTAGGAACTGTTCAACTGTCAATACTCCAGAATTAGAAAAAAAATAAATACTAAAAAAGGGACACCACTATGATACCTAAAGTTTGTGTTCTTTCACAACTTCACCAATTTTCCCTTGCAGGCCACAGATTTACTGCAATCTTCCCAAGCCTCAAGCATTACTTCATCAGTGACCTGAACTTTTACTGCACCTTTCATGAGCACCTTGAGTAAAGGGCTCAGTGAGATAGGAGGGAGGGAAAGAAGGAGAAAAGAAGAGGGGGAGGAGGCAAGCAGCCAAAGAGAGCTTCTTCCTTCTCTTCTCCCCACATCATAAGATGTCCTCATTCTACAACCAGCATGACCACTGTAACTCATGGAATTTGAAGCCTCCATTGTCACACAGAGAGTTAAACGTAAACTGAGTCAGAGGAGTCTGTTTATAGGTGCTTGTGTGTGTGTTCTGGATTCAGGGTCTTGTCCATCAGTCCATCTATCAAAGCAGTTTAGCCACAGATGCCAGATGCAAGCAAAAGCACGACTCGAAGTGACAGAGGGAGACAGATGCTCACTATTGCTATGATTTTTTTTAGTCATGTGTATTGACCAGAAGAGAACTGAGAATTAAACATTAAATCCTAAATAAGAAGGATTCTTGAACTGCACACAAAATATAGTAGGAAGAATTTCACAGTGGTACAACCAGCCTTCACCAGTGTTCTAGTGGTTAAATCTTGATTTCATAAATTCAATAGTATACTATAGTATAGTCTGTTTAAAGACTAATGCTACATGATTTGATATGCTCTCAATACGGTCTTTTCTCCCTCCCCCCCCAAACTCCTCCTAAATTTAAGTCTAGACAAAAAAATTTGTTTTTAATAGATTCTTTCCAGTTTTACTTTATAGGACTGTTATTATACCAAACTATTTAAATACAAATCCATTCCTCAGATACAATAGGTAAGCAGCCAGAACAGATTTCATACAGTGGTCTTTTTTTTTTTTAATTTCCCCCTCTCCTTCCTTTGGTGGGGGAAGGGCGTCAGGAAGAAAAACTTCACTAGACAGTTTATTTCTGAACTAAGTGCTCAAAGAAATTTATCCAACTCCGAGGTATTAAGTGATTAAATTTTCACTATTTTTATACATTTTTAACTACCCTTAGAGTTCACAAGCATTTTTATTCCACTTTTTCAGGGATCACAAAGAATAAATGAAGCTATTTGCCCCGGGCCAAACAGTGTGTCTGAATCAGCATTACATTAAGAACCGTAGCTTGCAGCTCGTACATAATCCAAATCACATCTCCCATAGCACTTACATCATGCAGAGATTCACATGTGTGTTACTGACTTGAATATTCATTGTATGTTCTAGTGAGCTTCTAACACCCACAGAGTTCACTGTAGCACTAGAAGTTAACAATGCATGATGAATTACGATGAAGTAGGAAGCATACGTAAGTAGCCTTAACACTGCATTTCCTGTGTATTTTCAGGAAAGCACACACTCTGCTTCTTTTGATCACTAATACATAAGCAGTTTAAATTGGGTCATGAAATCTAAAACAATGAAAGAGATTGAATCTAACATTACCAATTGTAAAGAAAGAGGAAAAAAAAAAAAAAGCATCTTGATATTTTAAAAATGTATGGGAAAGCATTAAAGTACAATGTTGGTAACGTAGCTGAGACTGAATTTAAGTGAGGGCTGGAGGCATGTCCCATATATCATTATTTCAGGAAAACAAATACTTAGAACTCCATGTTGTAAAATAATATTCTTATCTGACAAAAGGATACCTAAGGAGGACATACTACAGAAAGTAAGATTGCCCGACATCTGAATCAAGTTAGAACAAAACTATAAATTTAGTCTGCTACAGCTAAGAATGATGGCAGAATTTAGACACCTCCCACACCCCCCAACAGTCCTGTGTTCCTTGGGCTGAGCAACACAGCTCAGCCTGAAGAAACTATATGTTTATTTATGGAATACCATCTTGGCGCTCCATTAGGTGGAGTAACATACCCAAGAAGTTATTCAGACAAATTAAATCTTTATTTCAGGTAATTTGGTAAATTCTGCAGTAATCTGTCATCTCCACAGACACCACAGTGTGCAGGAAGTGGCTAATCCAAGATCATTTTGCTTTAAACATGCAAAAAAAAAAATCCATATTCCACACTAAAAACTTATCATAATTAATTACTCTTATAAAAATCCCAACCAATAGGTTAACCTGCAATCAAGAACAGAAAAAGGAAGAACCGGTATTATCGCCCTTGTATTTCTTTTCCTCATAGTACAGACATTTAGCAGTTTATATTGCTATATGATATATAGCAACACACACTGCTATTTTTGCTTTAGAATTTAAACTTTTCTAGCAGGATAGATACATCAAAGCATTGACCATAAGAGAAACCTGAACAACTAGAACTACAAACTTCAGAGGAATGTGAATACTCAATGTATAAAACCAAATTTTTCATAAAACCCAATCCCTTGTGTTCCTATAAAAGTATTCCTCCTTCAGATTTATCAAGAAATTTTGATTATACAAACTTACTCGGTTTACATATAACTAAATATTGCTGACTACAGTATAGTTCTAACTTTAATTTCAGCTATATACATTTCTCTTTTGGTGCCTCTTACAGGAAAGGAATTTTTGCCTCATTTCTGGCAAAGAGTTACACTGAAAATAGATTATTTAATCTGGAGTATATTCTTGGAGATACTTAATTACAAGCTACTAAAACAAAATCACTGTAAATATTTTACAGCTACCTCTACATGACATGCCTCCATGTTATCCTGAAGAGTGTTCCAATTCCTAATTTGGGCCCATAATCTGCCTTTTCTTCTTTCAAGGTAACCAGTATATCTGGTCCAAGATGACAAAGCTGTCTGTAGAAAATGAGCTCTTTCTTTTTAAAGGCATCTGTAAGTATAAGATTCAGAAGATCCTCCAATCTGAAAAATACAAAGAAAGTTCACAGTACTTAATATACAGTAACTGATCTGATCTTTAAGAACGTGGAAGCCAGAAATAGGAGGGCAAAAAAACCTATTACTTAACAAGAAATAGAAACAAAGAATAAATTGAATAGATGATCTTTGTAGTAGTATCACAAAATCTTTACCCATAAAAAACAAACACACACAAACCAACTTAAATACAAGTAATTCAGTCTTCAGTATTTCCAGTAGTGAGTTTCCTAAAATGAAGCCCTCCATGCCTGCTGACTCAAATATGGTCAAGCATGAATGGAAAAACCTCCCTAAAAAAATAGAGACCAAGAAAGCTATATAAATACATCATTTGTTAGGCTAGGTTGGGGGTTTTGCTTTGTTTCTTTTTTTTTTTTTTTTTTTTTTTCTCCTTTTTTTGAGTGGATATCAATTGAGTCTGATGCAGCAGACTCGAATCAATGACACATTTAGCACACTCCTTCACTTAATGACTTTGCACTCACATTTGCAATTATAATTCTCTGGCAGTATCAGCTGCCAACAATAGTTCTCTGTAACACTGTGATGGAAACAAGTTGAGAATCGCAAGGAGACTTTCATACTGCAAAGTCCCTTTGCTTACCTTTGCTGAACAAGGACACATTTGGATAATGTGCTAATATCAGCAGTCCAACAATTACATCTACACCATATTACTAGATTGCTGGAGAAGCTGGTAAGGGCCACGGCACCAAGAGGTCTACAGGCAATGCAAGACAAATGTTGCCGTTTTAAGGGTAATCCTGTGTGACCACACTCCAATCCTTGCAAATATGTATAGTTACAAATATGACAAATCCTGGCATTTGCACACTTAATTTTGGTGAGAAGGGTCTGGAGATTGTTACTGCAGCCTGTAGATCTTGGTGAAAGCACAGTGTCACAACAACATATTTCTGCTGCTGTAGAAAATGAGCTCAGCTCCTCCACTCACTGCAATTAAATCCTCAATGATCTCACACCGAGAAGTGATTTGTACACCAGTAACAATCCTAACCTTGCTCCCAGAGCAAATACAATTTTTTTAAAATTACTTCAAAGAAAACATCAACCCAACAAGCATGCAAGTCACAAACATCAGATATGTACATGGCACTTGGTTTTACAAAGCATCTTTGTCCTTATGCGCAAGTTAAAAGAAAAAAAAAAAAAAAAACAGTTAATTATTTGTTTTGCAATAATACTCAAGAGACCCATTCTTTTAAGTACACATATACAGACTGCTTCCACAAAGGAAACAGTCTGAGCAACAACAGCATGCAATCACAGCATCCACTTCAGGATCAACAATCTCAAAATCAAAACAAAAACCGTACAATATAAAAAACTAATGCAAAATACCTTTCATCTGCTCTCAGAATGATTATCTCAATTTAAAATGTAGATTTCACCAAGTTCTTTTCAGAAAACAGTTTTCAGGATTTACTGACAGTAATTGGAAAGAGACATAGTGCGCTGGCAAAACAGTTAATTTTGAAAACTTTACTCCATATTCTCAAATCAATCTGATGTAAGATCTAACAAATATATTTAGAAAATAACTACTTTCATAGCCTCACTCAAATACCATTTCCTCTAGAATTGAGCCACCTCCTTAAATAATTTATAACACAACAAGAATAAAATAGACTTTCCTAGTCTGTAAAGATGCCAGGAGTATATCTGACAGATTTGAGTCATGATTCCCTACTCGGAGTAATGTAACATTTAACATTTATTTACTGGACTACAATAGGAGGCGGCACTCAATTTTTTGGGTGTTTTTTTTTTTTTTGTTTTTTTGTTTTTTTTTGAGAAGACAGAAATGACTTAATAGGAAATTTTTTTCTAAATCATGAAGAGAAACCTTTGATTTTCATACTGACTGTTAAAAATTTTGCTTACCAAATGCATTAGTCTTCTTTTGTTCTATTCTATACAGAATTACCAGTATCATCTAGCAAAAAGTGTCATGGCATTCACAAAAGGTTCCTGACAGGCACAAAAACCACCACTCATTTCTGAGAAAGTCAAAAGATGAGTCAGAGTACCACCAACTTCTGGGAGGCACATGGAACACATCCATTTCAAATTACTTCTTAAAGATGTGGACAAAAAGATAATAATGAACAGATAAAAAGCAGAATGTACCCAACCATGAAGAGCTGGAGGGCTACTCTGATGAAAGCTGAATGGTTCATGTAACATACTTTGACCTTAGTATGGCTTTCAACAGTTTCCCACCGCAGTCTCACCTGGGAGCTGAGGAAGCCCGAGCTCAATGAACAGAAGGGAAGCTGAGCTGGAAAAGTGGCCGGATCCCTGGCTCACGCGCCTGCAAGCAACGGCTGAACGTCCAGCTGCAAGCTGGCAAGGGAGGACCCCGGGGGCCAGCACTGGGCTCCAAACACACTCATCAGCAACCAGGAAGACGACACAGAGTGCGCCCTCAGCAAACTGGCAGGTGGTGGTAAAGTGGAGGGGGGCAGAGAAGAAGAGGGGGCTGACACAATGAATGGCAGCACTTCTACCAACACAGACAGACCACGATCAATCCAGGGACGTGGCCAAAAGAAACCTCATTGTGTTCAAGAAGGAAAAGCACAACGCTCTGCACCCAGGGCAGAAGAACCCCATGCATCAGCACAGGCTGGGGAGAGCTGGCTGAGTAACAGCCCTGCTGGAAGGGGCCCAGGTGCTGGGGCAGAAGCCAGCTGAAACAGGAGCCAACGTCTCACTGCAGAGGAGGCAAAGCGCAGAGGGGACTGCAGGTAAGGGATGTCAGCCCTTCTCTGCCTGCCGCTGGCAAAGCCACTCCGCAGACACTGAGTGTGCAGGTGAGGACCCTCGCCTCAGGGAAGATGCGAGGAAGCACGGAGGGTCCAGTCCTGGGTACCAAGGTGGCCAAGGGTCTCAAGGCCATCACCCCCAGGGAGAGGTTGAGGGAGATGGGCCTGTTTTCCCTAGCAAAGAGAAGGCTAGGGACCATCTAAGAGCTGTCTACAGCTACCGACATGGCAACTCTAAACACAGCACAGACAAACTCTCTCAGCACTAGCACACACAAAAGAAAGAGCAATGGCCACAAAAGGCAGCGTGGAAAATTCAGGTTGGACACGATGACAAACTCGTTCACTAGGATGGTGGTGCAGGCCAGGAATGGGCGCCCCAGAGAGGCTGTGGATTCTGTGTCCTTGGGGATTTTCATGGTTTAGTAGGACAAAAACACAGCTGACCCCAGCAAGAACCAGTTAGAGCCCGGCTTGAATAAGTGGCTGGACCAGAGATCTCCAGAAGTCTCTTCTGACCATTATACTTTCAACTCCATGATCACATTTATTCCTGTGATATGCTCCCAGCAACTATAGCCTTGCTTATATAATCATCTCCAGACAAGATGAAGTCAATAAATCTTTGGAAAAAGAATTATCCATAGATGACATCAGTACAGATCTTCCTATAAATCGCGAGGTATTATCAATACACTACAGCGCTAGCAGCTTTGACAGTTCTAAAATCACAAATATCTAATGTTAAAGCTATTTTAATCAGCTGATGCCAAATATAAAAAAAAAAACAAACTACAGAGAAATTGGAAATTGCATACCTAATCCTACTGAATTTAAATATACTGCAAAACACTACCCCATGGTCACCTTTGTAGACCACTCAATGTTCTTCCGGGAAGAAAATAAAATCTTCAATATTACAATTTTATGCCAGTATCTTTAAGAACAGGCAATATGAAAGATTACTTTTCACTTAACTTGCTTGTGGAAGCTCCCTCAAATTTGAAAAAGGCAGTAGAATTTTTCCCCCAGGACATAATTTTGAACATAAAATTTTAAAGTGTCACTCTTAAGCAATACACAAAGACGCCTTACAAATTTTAAGTCTCTATTTTTCCTTCGCAAGTCTCAATTTTGTTTCCTCCAGTATTAAATACAGCCTTTCATATCTTAAACTAAATACAAAAGACAGACAGTTCTTCTGCCACACTACAAATGCAGAGCTTTAGTGATAATCATATTTAAATCAATTACAGTAAATAAAATAAACAGACTGGAAATAATTTAGGAGGACTGGTGCCTATAACTCACTTCTAGCACCACACAGATTAAGCAACAATTCAATGCAGTAGATAAAACATCTTGGTGAAGGGGAAACCTAGGTCATTACCTGACATCATAATCCTGCTTTTTGTGTACTTTTGGTCCAGTGCATCTTAAATTATCTCATGACGTCACTGAGTTTCAAAGTAAGAATGAGAGGTGATCAATTTACTCATTAAGACTAGTAACTAAAATGAACTCTCTTCCTTGCATTGACTGGTGTTTTTCACATCTGGTTAACTAACCAATGCATTAATCCCCAAAATAAAAAAAAAAAAAAAAAAAAACAAAAACCAAACCAACCGACCAAAACCACCTATGCCCACATTAGTGGGTAGTATACAAGAGGATGAGATCTGCAAAGCAAAGCAGTTTGTGCTAAAGACAACATTCAAACTACATATATTCCAGGGGATCTCACTTCAGAAATAGCTCTAGTTCTACCTATGGTCTGAACAGCTTTAATCCAAATGCATTAGCCAAGTCCAGAAGCACACCCTTCAATTTTGTTTCATCCAAAAGAAGTTGATTTGCATGTTCAGCAGAATCAGCAGCAAAGAATGCTATTATCCAACCTACAGTGATAGGCATTCTGGAGATAGTAACGCACAGTTATTTCAAAGTTAATCCTGAAACAATTTTTATTAGCTGCATTTTAAGTCACAGAGCCTAAACACTTAAATTTTATGCATGCCTGCAAACTACAGAGTAATACATGAATGCAACAATTACATGCAGCTGAAATCTTCATCGCATCTCAAACAGAAACCAACTGTGCAATAATAACATAATTTAGTTTTGCAATATAATTATCTTAATGAGGGATGCTGTTGCACAATAATTCCAAAAACAGGAAGAGAATACTCACACCACAGAGCCTGCCTATTGGCACACTTTAAAGATGGTTTACATTGGACATGGCGAGAGCACTGTGGCAGAAGAGTAGTCCTGTTCTCTCTGTCTTCCAGCTGAGGGATTCCTGCTTCCTCCACTGTTGCAAGAATTTTATAATTTCATGATGCAAATTACTTGGACAACTGTATTAGTTGCAGACTAATCCTGGAAGAAGAAAAAAAAGATCAGTTTTCTGCTACAGCAGGTAGCTGTTTTAGTGACAATACAGTGTTAAATCAACATAGGTGAATTGTTTAACCACAACAAGAACCTTTCACCACCACCTCCCCAGAAAATGATAACAATACTCAAACCTCTGGTATCAGTGTTTTCAACGGGGAACAATAATGTAAGCAAGATGTGTATCTCAAAGACACAGTAAACAGCAAAAAAATGTGGCAAAATCATGATCCCTTAAAGTTAGTATCAACTTTATGAGCATTTAGATGTAGCTTCAATACTTCTATGCCTTGCAACAGCAAGCTGACATTTGAAAAAAAAAAAACAAAAAAAAAAAACAAAACAAAAACAAAACAGCAAAGGAACACTAAATTGATTTTTCACTCCCTGCATCAAAGTTCACCCCAACTGCAAGTCTGAAAACTCTCCTTCATTTGTTGTTAACACTCCACGTTAACATGGAGCTCTTCCCACAGACTTCTATGGCAAACACAGCCAGAAGACTCCACCTCCACGGAAATCAACTGAGCAGGCCTTACATGGCAATCACTTTTCCTAAATGCCAGAGGGAGTTACAGGTCTCGCATGTTACCAATGCTCCACCTGCTGGTATGCGGACAGTACGAGTTAGTCCAGAAACCATCCTGACCTTGGAGATGCAAAAAATAAACAAAAATGCTTTCCAAGTAGTCAGAAGTATATAAGGCACCTCATACGAATCAAGCATATGAGGGCAAAACCTCACCTGAAGAACCTGGCAGTACAGTACATTTCTGAATACTAATATTCCTGAAAAGTATCTGTGAAAACCTCTAACTACGGATGTGGTTCAATCCTCCTACAGTGGCTGGCCAGCTACTAACACATCATCATTTTTAACTTCATTAGGTCAAGGGTACAGCTCTGCAGAAAAGTTTGCATAAGAAACACAAGACAAGTCCAAAAGTGGAGTTCCCACCAAAAAAAAAAAATAAAAAAATAAAATCATTGTCTGGAGTTTCTACATTATGAATTTTATTTTATCAGGGTTTTAAAGTGACCTTTAGAGCCCAAAATAAAATCTCATTAAAGCCACGCATCTCCCCAAAACAATTAAGCCAAAAAGGGAAGTAAAGCTGCCCACCTTATTTCACCACAGTTACATATGAAAAATAGTATGTTTACAAAATTAAAAAGTAACCAAACATGTGGCTCTACATAGGAATCCTGCCATACTCAGTTCATAAACCAGATACTCCCTGAAAGATCTTTGAAGAGCAAGAATGTAACAGTCCTTAAGACTTGTTTCACCGGTTCAAAGAGCCGAAAGGTATCTTCATTCAGCTTTCCACAACATCTATCATCTGTTTCAATTGCTTTTTTTAGAAGCCATAGAAATAAGAATAGGCAAACTGAAAAAAATTCCCACGGTGTTTTGAGATTGACTCAGCTTGTAAATCAACTATTTTCCTCGATCTCTTCTCAGCTGTTTACCTGAGTGTGGGACAAGTTACTGAAAGCACTTTTTACAGACACCTGCTATTTCTATTCTTTATCTGAGTGACCAACTGCAAATTCTCAGTCAGCTTTGCAGAACCTTTGTATCTCAAGCAGAGGTCAGCAGAGACCATATTAGCTCAACAGAAATGTCATAAAAACATCAAGAAATGCCACTAAAGAAGCAATATAATAATAATAAAAAAAAAAGATAAAATGCATGTGCAGTTTGTAATCCTCTTTCAATACGTAGAATTAAAACATTAACTGGTACTAGAGTAAAAAGCATCATCCACAGCATTTCTAGAACAAATATGTTCTGTGAAAAATAGTTAAAGTTAACCTATACAATGGAACCAATGAAGGTACACTTAAGGAAATGCTGTAAATGCAGGCTTACAGTCATTGTATAAAATAAATTAAGCACCAGCAAGACCAAAATTTACCGCCCTGCTATAACAAGTGAGCTGCCTTTGACTCCACTTAAATGCAAGGAAGATTATTACAGTTAGCAATATTTGTCAAGCTCTGTACGCAAATGAAATCTTACATTTAATCTTTTAAATTCCAACTTAACTACAATACTATTTAAAAATAGAGCTCCTCAAACTAATTTTATTACCCAACTTAAAACCGTAGTTTAAAGGACAGGAAACATCACAGAGTTATCAGTTACGTGTACACTACAGTGCTTCAGTCTCTAATGATCTGAAAGTCCTATCTGTACAAAGATTAACCAGACAGCCAAAATAACTTCTTGATTCTACAGGGGGTGAAGAAATGACCAAAGCAGATAGCCACCTAGTTCAATTTAACAGCATATTATTAAACTGTCTAAACTATTAAGGAAAATTCTGCAATAGTAGATTTGTAGTGTATCAGTAAATTGACAGAAAACCAGTATTCACTTTTTCATTTAAAGCAGGTAACAGGAAAACATTCCCCTTTTCACAAAGAGAAAAATAATTAATGATTAACAGTCTTTGAGAATTGCAATTTGGTTTTATTGGGACGCCTGTTATTCTTAAGAGAAATTTAAAAGTAACACTACACATAACAGCAATTCAAGCTGCGTAAAGGTCTCGTTTCTTAATTTACCTATAAGCAAGAAGTCAGATTATTAACTACAATAAGAAACTTTGCACTAAAATTTGTGTTGTATAAAAAAGACCAACAAATAAACCAGTACCTCTCCTTGATACTGTAGTATGCAACTTCACATTAACATGCAAAATCACCACTGCAATCAGTTTGTTGGAACCAAGGAATGTTTAAGTACATAGATTCATTTTACCTTCATGAGATTTTACTGCTTCTAGTTAATATTTGGCATAAACTGATTTTTAACTGACCCACCAGCTTAGCAGTGCCTGATCCAACTGGTATGTTTATGAAGACAAGTCATTTTGTCACCATATTCAAAGTGAAAAAACATTGTAAAATTTTGATTAGGCTTTTAAATTCAAGGCAGTCATACAGGCTGAAATAAAATGAAAAATACAAGATCAGACAATCACATCTAAGCACATAATATCTGAGGATATAAACTACTACATTTACTTTGTAATTAATTAATATTAAAGGCATCGGATCAGATGCAGCAACTCATTTTGCAAGTTACAGAGTAATTGAAAATAAAAAAATCAGAGGAGAAGGAAGAGTCAAAATAGACAGATGTGTATTTTAAGCAAATATCACAAGTTTCCTTGTTAAGGAATCTCTCTTGTATCACAGCTGATTCAAGTTTTGAACATGGCAAGCTCTGATTAGTGTTACAGTTTTCTGCTATAAAGGCTGGAGATATGGCATACCAATCTTCTTAAAGGTCTAGAAGTCACCTTAACTTTCCTTGATGCTTCCTTGAAATACTCCCTTGATATATTCAGAACAGATGAGGGACAGGTTGCAGAACAAATAGCTTCCCTGATACCAGAACATTCCCGATGTTCCAGTGACCTGAAAGTGCCTGATCCTGTCAGCAGACAGCTTAGTTATCTCACAGCAAAGGGCTATGTGAAAATGAAGGTGCCCTTGACCTACAGGGAGATCAGAGAGTAGGCTCATAGAACCACCATCAAGAAAAACATCCTTGAAAACAATGCCTTTGTCTTATTGGGATAAAGTATATACCTGTCAAATTAATATTAAAAATTAGTTAGCTGTAGTATTTCTTGTCTTAACCTAATTTGGTGGAAAAGATGTGTTTACGTATCCTTCTAAAAATTAGTGCATTATTGTTTGCTCTTAAAGTTTTATTGGTTAAGTTTACTGAACAATAATTTAAGATAAGCAAAACTCCCAAGTAAGTAGATTGAGGGGCAATGATGAGAAAGAATATTTATTTACAAGCACGGTCTGTATATAATCAGATCATTTAGTTACGAACTTTAGATACCCTCAGAAAACAACAGGTTAACAATACACATTACACTAAGTATATGAGTATGTCGTAAGAACATATGTTAAAATAATGATGCATATCAAATATGGACCAGTCAGTCAACAGAATGAATATGGATATAAAGTCTTTAAGCACAGAGGTGCCTCCAGGAAGAGCCATGAACAACACACAGCTTTTGTGCCCCTAGCCAGAATGCTAGTAAGGATGAGGCAAAAGAAAGGAAGATGTGATGGAAAACTCACAGCAATTAACTTTAAATCCTTAACCAAAGCTAGTTCTGATGCAAGACTACTGCAATGCATATTGACTTTCCAGCTCCAACAGCTAAGATGTGCCTTAGGAATTCCAGGTAACAGCAGCTAGACAGATCACCATTTTCTTACATCAGCACTCAGTGTGTTCTACTTTTACCCTTTTGTTTCCAATTTCTATCTTACTAAACTCTGCCCTCTATTTTATCACTCTGTTTGCCTGGAACTGAGGATATGGGGAAAGTTTAGTGAAAGTTAAAAAAGGAACAACTACTCTGTGCCAGTAGCCCCAAGCAATCTGTGCCCTGGGACATACGCTTAGGAAGCTCACACACTAAGGAGCACTTTCTGCCAAGCAGCAGAGGGTCAGCAGGGCATCTTCCATTGCCAAGCATCAGCTTTGGGAAATAGTACTTTCCAGAAGGTACAAATTTAAGCCTTTTCTGTAGGTTATCAACAGTACACAACATACCTCACCGCTCACCCAAAACTGTGAACTCACACAGATATTTCTGCATATGAAAGTACTCAGTTAGTGCACTGAACAGTCCAAATGATGAACTGAGCAGTTTAAGATAACACAGAGAAAAGAGCTCAGTCTTGAAGAACACTTAGAAACACTTTGAACATCAGAAGAATGATGACCCTGCATTTGGCTGAACCATGCTGTATCTGCGGAGAAAACAATGAAGTGAATGAAGAAAATCCTCTGAGGCTCATTTGGCATTTTGATTTATTATTCTCATATTAAGCCTCCATCATTCATTCTCCACACAGCTCTGACACAGCAAAAGATTTGTTTTGGACTAATTTACTTTATTTCTACATTCTTTATATAAAATGCCCATGTTCTTACA